CAGAGATTGTCAGACTTCATTTAAAAACAAAAACAAAAAACAAGAGACTCAACAATATGCTATCCAGAGATGTGGTTTAAATCCAAAGACACTGATTGAAAGTAAAAATATTAAAAAATATATACAAACTCTAGTAATAAAAAGGTCAAGTGTGGGCCGGCCTGGTGGCGCACTCGGTAGAGTGCGGCGCTTGGGAGTGCGGCGGCGCTCCCGCCGAGGGTTCGGATCCCATATACAGACCGGTCCGCTCACTGGTTGAGTGTGGTGCGGGCGCAACACCGAGGGTTGCGATCCCATTGCCGGTCGCGGTACGGGCGCGACACTGAGGGTTGCGATCCCGTTACCGGTCACGAAAAAAGACAAAGAGAAAAAAAAAAAAAGGTCAAGTGAAAGCAGGGACTAAAACACACATTAGCACCTGCATGATCACAGCAGTATTTTCCAAAATGGCCAAAAGGAGGAAACAGCCCACGTGTCCTCCCGTGTACAGTTCGATAGACAAAAGGTGGTCTATATGTATCATAGAAAACTATTGAGCTTTTAAAAGTAAGGAAAAAAACTGACAAGGATGAACCTTGAAGACACTATGCTACATGATATAGGCCCATTACAAGGGGACAAACATGATATGATTCCACTTACATGAGGTTCCTATGGTAGACAAATTCATAGAGACAGAAAGTAGAATCCTGCTTTCCGGGCCGGTTCGGTGGCGCACTGGAGAGTGTGCCGCTTGGGAGCGCGGCAGCGCTCCCGCTGAGGGTTCAGATCCCATGTGGAGACCGGTTCCCGCTCACTGGCTGAGCGCGGTGCAGGCGCAACACCGAGGGGTGCGATCCCGTTGCCGGTTCCCGGTACGGGCGCAACACCGAGGGTCGCGATCCATTACCGGTCAGTAAAAAAGACAAAAAAAAAAAGGAAAAAAAAAAAAAAAAGAATCCTGCTTTCCAGGGCCTGGGGTAGAGGGGAGTAGGGATTTAGTGTGTGAAGAATACAGAATTTGGGGAAAATGAAAAAAAATTCTGTAGATGGATAGTGGTGATGGTTGCAAATTAATGTGAATAAACTTAATACCACTAAACTGTAACCTTAAAAATGATTAAAGTGTCAAATTTTATGTTATGTATATTTTATCAGAATAAAAATGTTTTTAACTGTTAACTACAGTTTTAATAATACATAATTCATAGATATGATTGATGCATAAATCTATACTTCCCTACTAATTTTAAGTGATTAGGTGAAATAACAGAATTATATACAATCTTTAAAAGTGTTTGAAAACATGACTAGCCATTTTTGAGCCAGAAACATACAATTTTCTATTAGTATAAACTACTGATAAAATCAGGGAAATATATATCAGGAAAAGGTACAAATGATTAAAACCTGTGCTCCCTGTTTTTATTCTGTATCTTTCTCTTGACTCTTGTTCAAATGTATCCCACAAACTCCTGCATGTTTCTCCCACTGACCCCTATGACTGCCACCACAGCTGTTGGTTGGTAGCACAGCTCAGGAGGGACCAAACCTCATCACTGAGCAAACACACCCTTCAGGTTTTGCCAAGAATGACATTTCCAATGTAAAAAGAAAGTTACTGTGTCTATTTTTGAGCATCAACAGTTCCTCCTCCTTTGCAGGCACTGCGCATATGCATTAGAATAAAACTTTACAAACACAGAAAGACATGATACCTGAGGAGATTAGAACTGAGAGAAGGAAAAGACCAGGAAAAATCCCCCTTTGGTTGTTTGGGTTAAGACTACTTGGTAGTAATACCATATACGAGCATACTTCAAAAAGTTTGTGGAAAAATAAAACTGAAAGATAACAGAAATCCTTTCCTAAACTTTTTGAAGTACCCTCATTATGGGGAAAAATGGACAATGTGGTTTCATTTTGATTTGTGGGGCTTGATGTGGCACATCGAGTTGACCGTGTGTTGCAAAGGCTGGAAAGAGCTGAAAGCTGGAGAGATGCAGGTAGGAGAGTCAAACCACAGAAAGTCACATCAGTCAAGGAGAACTTCAGAGTGGAACGGAACAAATGGGAACAAAAGGGAACACATGGATGAGTTGTTTTAAGAAGAAAAATAAAGCAGAATTCAGGGGATAAAGAGAAGAAACCATCAGCAAGGTCATGTCTAAAACAGAGAACAATTTCCATGGAAAAATCACGAATAATAGTTTCAAATACGGCAGAAGATTCAAAGAAGGTAATGCACACAAATCTTTGGACAATAAATACTTGGTGAACTTTTGAAGAAGTGAACTAAGATCACACTGAGGAGAGTACAGTACAAATAAGCAATGAAAATATCCATCAGATATCCATTGCCTGGTACAACCCACATATACAGAACAGCTGAAAGAAAGTATGGAGAGTTATGTAAGAACCTGCAGTAGATTCTGTCCTCCACACATCCCAGGCTGTACCCATGCATCAAGTGGGGACTTTCAAAGTCTGTCTGGAACCACACTATTTTAGTAACTCCAGAGAAACCTTATTAGCTGATGTGTGATTAAATCCTAGGTAACCATTACCACTGCAGAATGCTGAGTGTATTTCCAGGTTGGTAGTGAAACGCTGTCCACTACACCGTGCATGTGACCAGAAAAGACTACTTCAGACTTCATATTCCATGAGAATGCAGCGCGTTCTCCTCTTAGGGTCATTTTGAATCCTGTGGTGTCGGAAAGACCAGAGACCAACTTGCACTCAACTTAGATGGCTCTAAGGTCTTGTAACCTGCCTGTATCAACATGGGAACTTTACCTTGTCTATGTATATTTCTCTGATGCTGAATTTTGTTTCTTTTAATTTCACCATCTTAATGAACCCTCATGAGGCTCCTAAAATACAGTAAACTTACCAGAGATGTATTCATTTCCTGTGCTCTTGTAAACACTAGAGGATTCTGGAGTTACAGCTGGAAGAGAAGGTGAACGGAGACAGTCTTGAGAGAAATGGTGAGGCTCCACCCCCATCCCCGTGTATCCCCCAACATCCCCCCTAAGACCCCCACCACCCCACTATAACCATCACCCTCCCCCACAACCCACTTTCATCCCCCTACACCCCCCACCATCCCCATAGGCCCCCCACCACCTCCCTATACCCACCATCCTCCTCCTATGGCCCCCACCATCCCTCTAGGGTCCCCACCAGCCCCCTGTGTCCCTCACTTTCCCCCTCCACACCCCACCACCCCCAGATTCCTTCAGACTCCACTGTCCCCAGGACCCGGCTCTGGTCCTCCTTCCCCTTCCTCAGCCCAGCCTCGTCCACAGCCCCCGGGGTTTGGAGAGGGGACGGCTTATCCCCGCCACGGCCTCGGCGGGCGGACGGTGCCAAGGCACAGCGGGAAGGGCTGGGCACAGGCCCCGGCGCAGGCGACAGCGGCTGCTCACCTGAGGCGCCGCGGGAGGCTGGGGGACATCGGGACGCGGCCGCGGGGAGAGAAGCGGGAACGCCAGATGCCACCCAGAGCGGGTCGCAGACCCAGCGGGGAACCCTGAGCCTGCGAAGGAAGAAGGCGGTTCGTGCGCGCATGCGTGCGGAGTTGGGGCGCAGAGGCCTGGGTCCGCGGGAACGCGGCGCCCTCCGGCTCCTGGTTCCGGGCCTGTGCGCGGCCTTTTCCGCTCCGGCTTGCAGAGAGGACGCGGCCTGGGCGTCCGGGCGTTGGCGGTGCGGCGTTCACGGAGGAGTCGCACACGCTACCTTCTTCCAAGGCCACCTGTTCCCGCGCGCCCCGTGTGCTCCGGCGCCTCCCCCAGGGCATCCCTCACGTTTAAGGTCTCAGGTGTTCAACGTGGCATCCAGAGCCCTTCCCGGTCTGTCCTCACCTACCCCATGATCCCGGGAGATTCACCTGCCCCAGAGACCCAGCTCAACGATGCCCACCTGGAAGGCACACCCGCCCCCTCCTGTCCGGTGTCCCCTCCCCATGGTGATCCTCCGGTGTTCTGTTTCCCCACCAGGGGTGAGCTTTTCACAGCAGAAACATCGCGGTCAGACCCACCAGTTGGCACAGCGCGGGTGCTCAGTTAATGGTGAGGGGACGAGTGAACAGTGCAGTCCCTTTCGCACCTGTGTGGAAACTAAAGGTAAAAATGTAGGAGATGGAATTCAGGCCCCTGAGATTCCCACGAGCAATACAGGGGCATGAGAAACACCTCGCACCAGCACCACGACTCCTCTCCCTCACACTGCCGCTTGTTTAGCAAAGATCACTGGCTCTGGTAGATGGTGGGTCAGGAGTGACCAGACACTGGTCCTGGCCCTCAGGGACCTCCTGTCCCACTAGCAGAGACGCTCAGAGAGGGTCAGGAGTGACCAGACACTGGTCCTGGCCCTCAGGGACCTCCTGTCCCACTAGCAGAGATGCTCAGAGACTCAAACAGACATGCACTGTGGATTTGGGTTTAAGATAAGCAACAAGTGGTGTTTTGGTATAAGTGTATCCCACATATTGAATGGGACATACTTATACTGGAAAATTGTTCCTTATTTGAAATTCAACTTTGACTGTATGTCCTGTATTTTATATGGCAACCCTAAAAAATGTCAGAGAAAGCCTGGGGTCAGGCAGTTAGAGGAGGCCACAGGGCAGGTAATATTTGAGCAGGGTTTGATGGATGAGTAGGAGTCTGCCAGGTGCACAAGGCATGCCAGGCAGAGGGACAGTGTGGTGTTTTAGGAAACTTCAAGTGGTTTGGCCTGGGGCTGGGTTCATAGGCTCCTGTGTTTGGGCGCCTGTTAGTGGGGTTGAACCTCAAGGAATGAGAAACTGAGAGAGTAAAGGGGTGACCCTCGTGGCTGGGCCTGCAGCCTGGCCCACTAGACAGAGTTCAGTTCTCTGTTGGTGTTAAGGGAAACTGCAGGTTTCCTAGCCAGGGAACCAAGATGTTAAGGGAACTGAGGAAATTGCAGGTTCCACCAGCTAAGGCTGGGTTCTTGGTGTCCCAAACAAAGAATTGGAGGAAACACACCAGAGGTGAAAATCAAAGAGCAGTTTATTTAGTAAGAGAGAAAGTACACTCGAGAGAGGATGGAGTAGGCTCCAGTGATAGTGTAGCTCAAGAGCACCAGGCAAAATACAAAGAGCAGTTTTATTTAGAGAGAGAGGGAGCACAGTCTGTCAGAGGAAGGAGCACTCCAGTGAGAGAGTGGCTCAAGAGCAGGACGGTTGCATTCCTGGGGGTTTGAGTCCTGCCAGCTGGATTTGTGTCATTTGGTCATTGATTGAATTAAATAGTACCCTACGTGGGGGCACAGCTCCCTATCTGTCTTTGTCTCCTGTCGCTGTGCGTGCCTGTCCTCATGGAAGTGGCTTTACTGGCTATCCTACTTGCAATCAGATTTCCTCTTCTGGCTCTTGTCCTTTTCCAATTTCCCACAACAGCATCAGTGAAAATGGGAAGGAATCCCACAATTCAGGAACCCAGATGATGACGACAATGCATTAGAGCTCCTGGATCAGCCAGAAGCCAAAAGCCTGGGACAGGTGTGAGAGGGAGCCGATGCCCTTATGGGTTGTCTATACTGTCAAATGCCACCCCAAAGCCATCTTGTTTGCTTGCGATTGTGTGATCAGCAATTTGGGTGGGGCTCAGCTTGGGTGCCTCGAGGGGCTGCATCATCTGGCAGCTCCACTAGTGTTGGAGGCCCCAGGTGGTTCCATTCATGGCATTTCAAAGCTCTCTTGATATGTTACCTGGAGCGTAGCTGAGGGTGGGGCACGGGGAGGTGGGCTCCTGCCGCAGACCCTTGCCACTCCCCAGGGGCTCCTCAATGGAGAACATGTTCAGCCTGCCTGTGTACTTCTCATTTGACTGAATGAGTTCTGGGACAGCCTGGTGTGAAGGACTACCACTGTCTACTGAAAGCTCACAGGCACCTAGTGATGGGGGTTAGTGGGAGGTGTGGCCACCACCAGGCTGTTATGCCAAGGTCATCAGGAAAAGAGAGGCTGCTAGGCAGCAATGTCAGAGGTGGGGCGCTTGTCCCCATCACTCAGAGGCCTGGGGGCTCCTGAGATTGGTCAGCCCACTCAGAAGCAGCAAAGCCTACATCAGCACTACCAGGCACAAAATTGGAGCTATGGCAGTTCACTGTGCCATGCCATCTTCCACTCCTTCAGCTGGTCAGTCAACATTTGCTGGAGGATGAAGTGGTTTTTCTCTCCTCATGGGCAGGACGTAGCCCCGTGGAATTGCCTCTGTGGCCTGCCCTGTGACACAATATCACCCACACTCCTTGGTCTTGTACCTGCTGTGGCAGTAGAGCAGTCCACCTCTGGAGGTCACATCTGTGAAGTTCACGCAGGTCTGCAAGAAGTTTGTGTCCAGAGGGTGGCACTGACAAGTGCACAACCCAGTGAGGCAGGCGTGCCCCACCCATGACTTGTCTGATGCCAGTCTCCTGCCTTCCTGCAGGAGGGCAAAGCAGGCCTCCCGACCATCCCTCTGGGAGATGCAGGCATGGGAAAGTGGTTACAGCAGCACTGCTGAGGCTCCAGCCTCTCTGTGTCATTCCCTGCCATGTTCCTCCCCTGAGCCCACACACCCTGAGTCAGCTGTTGACTGCGAGGACCCCAGCCTGGAGCCCTCAGGAGGCAGGAGAGGACTGGGGTCCAGAGGTATGTCCTACATCACCTAACTGTGGCACCGGGCCTGGCACAAAAGACTTGATTGGCGCTTGCACATCAGGCAGGGGGTGGTGCCGCTGTGGTCTCCTGGACTCTCCACAACTGGGTCAATAGCTGTATCCTGCCTGACATGTAGCACTTCCTGCAGCAAGAGCTCTGCACCATGCAGCAGGAAGTCAGCAAGGTGAGGGACTCCATGCCCAGCTGGCACCACCATGGCCAGTGGGGCGGCTGTCTGGCATGAAGGCAGGGGCAAGGGAGAGGCTCACCAGGGCTTGGGGGAGGTGGGGGGCAGGGAAATTACCAAGGCCATGGCTGCAGTGAGGTGGGGGGACAGGGATAGGTTTCGGGTGACAGCCTGCAGTCTCAGGGAAGCTGTGGCCTATAGGACTCAAGTTACTACCAGCCACCAGTTGTGAATGTAAGGGTTTCACTTTGGAGGCTGAGGCAGGTCAGTCTGCTGTATCCTGGGGGAGGCTTGAAGGCTGTGTGACTCAGACTCCCCTGGTTGCCATCTGGCCTCTTGGTGCCTATGTCTTATTAATCCCCCATTCTTTGTCCAGGAGGACTAACCCATGTCTGTGGCCTTTTGCTTCCTGGGTTCTCTCCTTGGCCATCAGAAACATGCGAGGCTGTGAGCACCTGGCAGCTCAGTGGCCTCTCCTCCCTGGCCCAGGTCATCACGAGATCATGCTTGGTAATCACTCTGAAGAATTTTACCACTTCCTCAACGTTGTCACTGAAAGGAGGCTCCACATCCTGGTGGTGGGGTTGGAGGAGGACAGAGTAGCCACTAAGCCAGGCCCCCAGGAGGCTACTTTCAATTCTGCCACATTGCAGAGGTGCTGGTATCTGTGATCAACCACATCAACTTCCAGAGAGTGGACACCAGTATGTTCTTGCCACAGCCAAAGGAGCTGCTGTGGCAGCTGGAGGAAGACGGAGTGGTCTGGGGCCACCTCCCTGTTCTGTGGCCCTTTTGAAAATAAAGCTGGTCCTCACCACTGTGTTCTGGGACACACTGCCTACTGAGCCTTGTGGCCTCAGCGTCCCCAAGGACAGCTCCTCTGGCTAGCATCTGATGGGGTCCTGGCCACTCATGGCCATTTTCTGATTCCCTGTTCTTAGGGGACTCTAGATCCACTGAGGGTGCCCAGGTGGGAACATGGGCATGTAACTTGCAGCAAGCCTTCCAGGGACCAGGAGCTGGGTGTTGGTGTTGAGACCATGTTCCATAGACGACCATGTTCCATAGACCCTCCCAGGCTCCTCTCAGGGGAATGCCAGGACACTTGAGCCCGTGGGGTTCAGTCCACCTGCCTCTGGAGGCTCCTTTGTGTGGCCCAGTCCCGTCCCTTCATCATGTGCTCACATGCACTGTCCCAGCCCTCCTGCCCATCTGGCTCTGCCTCTGTGTTCCCCGGGGCTGCAGCAAGGCAAGGAGGAGGTGGGCACAGCACTGCAGGCCCACACCAGGCGTATTTAGCTGGTGTAGGTCACTTGCATCTGGAGGCAGGGGAGTTGGGGGTGGACAGACACCTTCCAGGTCCTGGTCCAGTCAAGCACCCAGGATGGAGGAGTTGGTGCTGGAGCAGGTGGGTGGGAGGCTGTCAAAGGCCTGCACTCTCCTTCCCCACAACCCCCCATGACACCCCATGGCCTGTGCCTGCCCTGCCCATCCACAGGCCAGCCCCATACCCTATCCCGCCGGCTGTCCTGGCAGTGGCAGGGCCAGCCACTGAGCACAAGCTGATAGAACTTCCATCAAGGGAGTGCCCCATCAGTGGCCACCTGTTCCCATCCTCAGGGAAGACTGCCATGCTCCTGTCTGTCTGCTGGGCAGGGAGGGGCAGCACCTGCTCTGTTTCTTGCACTGGCTGCACATGGTAGGTTCTTTGTCACTCCCTGAGGGAGAAAACAAGCAGAGTCTGTACCTGTCCAGCCTCCACAGGGAACCCGAGGCATCTTGACCTGTAGCTCATGCACTGGTGCGTTCCCTTTTCCATGCAGGTCTCTTCTTCCCACTGAGGGGTTCTCAGGAATGGCAGGTGCAGCCACCCCAGCCCCACATGCAGTTGGGCATGGAGGACTGAGGTGCACACCAGTGAGAGCAGATGGCCCACCCCACCCCTGTCCTGGGCCAAGTTCCACATTCAGGAAAGGGTAGGGATGGATTCTCACAGGGCCTGGCTCTCTCCCCAGGAAGCCAGTCCTTGGCTCTGTGACTCTTTCCTCTTGCAAGGGGAGCCCCAGACTTCAGCCCTCCAGCGAGAATCACAAGGTATGTGGAGGTAGGTTACTGTCAGGACCCTCCCCCATGACCCAGAGTCCACTCACATTTCCAGCTGGTCCTGGGATCCACCATCCCCATCAAAACAGGGGAGGCTGCATCCATATCTGCAGGAGGCGGCACATCTGTGCTCTGGACATTACCTGCTGTGACCCCTTCTGGGACTGGCTGACCCTCTACTAGAGTGAAAGCCCAGGAAGACAGGAATTTTCATCTGTTCTTTTCTGATGAACTATGCTAAGTGCCTAGAAAAGTGTCTGTACACAGTAGGCACTTTATGTATGTTGAATGAATGAATCTCCACAAGCACTTCCCCTGATACCTGAGTAGGCCTGGGTCTCTCTGCCAGCCCCCAGGAACCCTAGATGAAACCTCAAACCTCTCTTATGAATGCAAAACAGCATTGCCCAAACCCAGGGATGTGAGGGCCGAGGCAGGGGCTGATTTATGGGGGAGAGGAAAATAGCCAATTTGAGCAACCACAGCCCTTTCAGGGGCCCTTTCTCCAGGGCCAGGCACTGGGCAGGCATTTTCCATGGCTTGTCCAGTCTTGTCCCTGCAATGATGCTCTGGGTCTGGTTACTTTGGCACCTCACTCCAAAGGAGCAAACATCTCAGGTGCAGTGACAATCACAAGCCACAGCTAGGCAGAGCTTGGTCACCTCTGTGCCATGGAGGGGTGCTGTGCCACCCTCCCAGCAGCAGGTTCAGCACCAGTTGTGTGGGGGTGAGGGCTCAGCAGGAGCACAGGAAGTTGGGGGCATGGGAGGGGTCACTGGCCAGGCGGCTGTGCTCGGTACTCCAGCAGCTTCTCCAGTGTGCCTACCTGCACCATCACCATGCAGCAGTGTCCTCTCTCTAGGGTGGGGTGGGGGGGCACATGGTCAAGGCAGCATCATGGACCAGCAGCTCCTGTTGACCTAAAAGAGACTGAGGTCAAACTATAGACTTTATCGATCCAATGTGATGATTGCAACCAGTGAAACACTCAGGTTGTGTCACCCTGAGAAATTCACTCCAAAGGGGACCAGCAGAGCTTAGCATTTTATAATCTCAAAATACAGAAGGAATCAAAGGAGAGAAAGACAGCTCCCCCCACCCATAACTACATCAGGTTTTTTATTGGCTTGTACACACCTATAGATTTTGAATTTTTACTAGGTTACATCTTGCATGCAACACTGTAGGATTACATTAAACATTGTAGGTTATTTTATTTTTTGGTGCCTGCATGTCTGAAACCATCTTATAACATGAGGACTTGATGGCTGGCTTACCCCAGATTTTCCTAACGCACTAGATTTCAGCTGACCTTGTTGGAGCCGATATTGAAATTATTTTTTCTTTTTGATCAAAAACATTTTATCTAAAAGCATCGATGATCAGCTCAGGTAGACATTTTGTTCCCTCATCACTGGGAAGACCCATTCCCAGGAAGTCATGTGCCACATAGAAGTAAAAGAAATGAGGCTCTGGTCTTTAGGTCTAAGGTTCAAATTTTAAGTAACATAGGAGTTGGGAGGGGACACTACTCAGGCCCTCTAGTTCTGTGAAGCATGTTGTTTCATTTCTATGCATCGTGCATAAACCCAGGGGGCATTTCTAGAGGGTGTTGTCCTCAAAGGGAGTGCTCAGGTTTTGATGAGCTATTTTTTATAATTTTAAAGCCTCCCTCAGATGTGACCAAGTCAGGATAATGTGTGAGGTCTATCTTTTGCAGTATCTCTTTATCACCTAGCAGTGATGGAGTGCTCAAGGTGCTAGGTGACCAACCTTCATATGCACCTCCCAGAGGAGCAGAAAGTTCCCTATAAAAGTATTCTTCTTGGGCCGGCCCGGTGGCGCACTGCTACAGTGAGCCGCTTGGGAGCGCGGCGGCGCTCCCACCGAGGGTTCGGATCCCACATACAGACCAGCCGCTCACTGGCTGAGAGAGGGGCGCAACACCAAGGGTTGTGATCCCGTTGCCGGTCCCGGTCCAGTACGGGCGCGACACTGAGGGTTGCGATCCGTTGCCGGTCACGAAAAAAGACAAAAAGGAAAAAAAAAAAAGTATTCTTCTTGGGCCGAGCCCGTGGCGCACTCGGGAGAGTGCGGCGCTGGGAGCGCAGTAGCGCTCCCGCCGCGGGTTCGGATCCTATATAGGGATGGCCGGTGCACTCACTGGCTGAGCGCAGTGCGGCCGGTCTCAAAAAAGGACAAAAAAAAAAAAAGTATTCTTCTTGTGGACAAGACCTTATGAGGCCACTACATATCACAGACCACTGTCTTAACACCCCTGCTGAAATTCTAGTCACTGAGAATACCCTGTTGGGTGGAAAGAAATGATTGCCTCTTATGTTCAGGGTGAGAAACTCACCTTCATGTGCTCTTCAGATGGAGGTTAGTGTTGAGCTTGTTACAAACAAAAAGGCAGAGCCAACTGCAATTTATAAGAAACAGCTGTTATGTTAAAGCATGCCATGTAATTTTATTGACAAGACAAACTGCCAGTACCTGCCTTGCCAACTGCAACCTGAACCCCACTCACCAGGCACTGGGAGGAAGAAAGCAAAATTTTCCCCCTTTGTATCAGAAACTCTATTTCAAAAGTAGAGACAAATCTGCCAATCCATATTACTTGGATCCCCCTCATGTGGCAGTGAGTGAAAAAGGCAGTAATCTTTTACTTAAAATTTCTTGTTAAATAGAGACAGAAAGACTCTCCTTCTCAAAGAGAAAAGAGAGGGTTAGGAGAAAAACAGCTCAGTAAAGACTCTGATCTCACCTAAACAGAGGAAGGTCCTAGACTCAGGGGAAATACACCCTTCCACACCCAACAAAATTCTGGAATCAAAGGGCCCAATGGGCCTACCAAAGCGTGAACTCAAGAGGAAGCCAGTGAGTCAGGGAGTTGCTCTGGATGACATCGTCATAGTCAGGAATGTTAACCTAAAACAAACTCAGGCTAAACATATAAAGCATAAGACTTATTGAACCAATATGACAATTGCAACTGGGGAAATATACAGGTCAGGTCATCCTGAGAAATTTGCTCCAAAGAGGACCAACAGACAACATTATATAACCCCAAGGCAGGAAAAGAATCAAAGGAGAGAGAGAAAAGGACAGCCCACCTTCATTATTACTTCAGTTTTTCTATTGGCTAGTACATACATACAAATTTTAGATTGTTACCAGGTTACATCCTACATGCAGGAATATAGGGTAAGTGTTACAAGAAGCACTCTAGGTTATTTTATTACTTCTCTGGTGCCTGTGTGTCTGAAAATAGTCTTATGAAGACTTGACTGATGGTTTCCCAGATTTTCCCAAGGCAGTACAATATAGCTGATCCAGTCAGAGCAAATTTTTAGTTATCACTCCCAAGCCCTCAGTGACTGTGGCCAGGAGTAAGATATTAGTGCCCCAGGAGAAAAGGGCCCTTATAGTCAAAAGAAGAATTCAGGGTGGGGGGATAATTTAAAATACTTGCACCTTCAAGTCCTTCATTGGCTGAGTGATGATAGCACCTCTTGTTTAAGAACATTAACCCAGGGAGTCCTCACAAAACATCCCCATGGGAGAGATGGGGACACATTTAGTGATGTCGAGGGGCGGCTCAAGGCTCAGAACCTAGAAACTTGTAATGCTACATCTGCCTGCTCTTAACTCTGCTCCTGACCTGGGGACAGTCAGGCCCATAGCTGCTGGGGACCCCTGTGGATGGAAGTAAAAACAGCAAATGCAAAGAGGCTCATAATCTAATATCAAGTGAAAACAGAGTAAAGACTCTGACAGTCCCACAAATCTGGGAGAAGAGGCAGTGCCCTGGCCAAGGCTGGGGCTGGGAGGTGGATGGGATGGCCCTTTAGGAGTGGGCCATCCCACCCGCCTTTGGGATTTTGGATTCTTTTGGGAGTGGGACTGCAGGACCCTCAGCAGGAAGGCCCTGGCAGGGTAGCCTCTGGTCCCTGGTTGTCTGCCATCTCTGGTCTCTGGGCTTTTATACCCTGGCAACTGCCTTCCCCCCATATCAGCCTCCTTGCAGGGGAGATGGAGTAGACACCCAAGCAGCAGCTCTTTGCCCATCTCCTGCATGGTGCTCTGCACACAGTGCTCAGCAACTGGACAGGACAATAAGGGCCCTGCAGAGGGATGTCCCCATGAGACCTTTTGCTCCATGTCAGGCCACAACCTGGGCTGTGGAACTGCTCTCCATCCACGTGGCTGATGCTTTCACGAAGGGTGACAGAAGAGCCACCTGTCACAGGTCAAAACACTGTCAACCAAAAATTCTGTGTCCAGCACAGCTCTATTTTAAAAATAAAGGTGTAATAAAGATATAGCCCAATTAACAAAACAGAGAATTTGTTGCTGACAAACCCGTTTTACAAAATATAAGAAAATTTTTCTGGAGCCAGCCCATGGCTCACTCAGGAGAGTGTGGTGCTGATAACACCAAGGCCACGGGTTCAGATATCATACAGGGATGGCTGGTTAGCTCACTGGGTGAGCATAGTGCTGACAACACCAAGTCAAGGGTTAAGATTCTTTCTTATTTATTTTTTTTTTTTTTGGTTTGGTGGCTGGCCAGTATGGGCAACGGAACCCTTAACCTTGGTGTTACAACACCACACTCTAACCAACTGAGCAAACTGGCCAGCTCTGGAAAAACAGATTTAAAATATAATATGAATCTTTCCATGAACATTTGAAGACCCCCCACTCATGTAAAAGGTGAGAAATAATAAAACAGCATATAGTTCAATGAAAATGGTGTAAACATGAAAAATAACAGAAAGAAACATGAGAAATCCAAATATGTGAAATTAAACAATATACTCCAAAATCACAAAAGGGTCAAAGAAATCAAAAGGGACATTAGAAAATACACTGAGGTGCTTAAAAGTGAAGATACAATATACAAAATTTTTGGAAGACAGCTAAAGCAGTTTCTAAAAGAAAATTTGTGGTTGTAAATATCTACATTAAAAAAAAAAGATCTCAAATCAGTAACCTAAGCTCCATGTGAAGACATTCAGAAAAGAAATCTAAAGTAAGCAGAAAAGAGAAAATAAGATTACAGAACAAAGCCATGAAATAGAGAATACAATGACAAAAACAGTAGGTTCATAAAAGATCAACAAAATTGACAAACCTTTAGCTAGATGAATAAAAAAAAGACAAATAACTAAAGAGAAAACAGTACTACCATCATTAGAAAATAAAAAAATAAATATTTACAGAAGAATAATATGAACAATGCTATGCCAATATATTAGATAATTTACATGGAATGAACGAATTCCTAGAAACACTCAAACTACAAAAACAGTCTAGAAAAGTTATCTGAATAGGCCTATCACAAGTAAAAAATTGTATTAATAAAGAACGTCTACATGCCAAGAAAAGCTCATGTTCAGAAACTTCACTGGTAAATTCTATCAAACATTTGGGGAATATTTAATATCAACTTTTCCCCATCTTCCAGAAACGGAAGTGCTAGAGACACTTCCCAACTCACTCTATGAGGCAGTATCACTATGACACCAAGACCCTTCAAATTCATCACAAGAAATGAAATATTCAGACCAATGTATCTTATGAATATACATTCATAAATAAAATAAAATTTAAATTTATGTTAATTCAAATAAAAGCAAAGAGAATCAAGTGACATATAAAAATAATTATGCTGTGTACAAAGTTGGATCTATTCAAGAACTACAAGGTTTGTTAGCAGCCAAAAATCATTTAATATAGTACACCATATAAATACAATAATAAACTAAATCACATGACCATCTCAATAGATATAGAAAACAAATTTGACAAAATTCAACTTTCTTCCATAATGAAACATTCAACAAAGTAGGAATAGAAGGGAACATCCTTGAACTGATAAAGAACACATGAAAAACCCTCAGCTAAAAACAACTTAATGGTGAAAGTCTGAACACTTACTCTGTAAGATCAAGAACAAGATAAATATATCCACATTTATTCATCATTGTACTAGACAGGACAATTGGCAACAGATAAATAAAAGGCATATAGACAGAAAAGAATGAAGTACAATTATCTATATTCACAGATAATGTGATCTTGTATTTAGAAAATCATAAAGAATTCACTAAAAACTATTAGAACTGGGTTGGTTGGTTAGCTCAGTTGTTAGAGCATGGTGCTAATGCCAAGGTCAAAGGTTAAGTCATAAAAAAGACAGCAAAACATAAAAGGCTTGTATTGAGAAAAATGTCACTGTAAAAATATTTTAAATCTCCTTCAAATGACAGAGTATCATGTTCTTTTTTAAATAATTATATTTTCTGATTATAAAAAATCAATTTTTATAAAACCAATAATTTTATAATTAATTATTTATAACTTATTTTTAACCATATATTTTCTTTCATTTATGTATTCTTTATCCTTGTATATATTGCTTTCTCTTTTTATATTACAAAATTCTACATCACAGAAATCCACTTTTGGGCTAGCCAGTTAGCTGAGTTGTTTTAGAGTGCAGAACACCAAGGTCACGGGTTCACCAGACACACACACACACACACACACAGACACACACACACACACAAATCATTTTTAAGTAGGACATATTGAATGTCTAGAAAAAATAATGTTTAAAAAAGCATATTACAGCATTAGTTAATAAAGCAAGGTTAGCTCTATTGGTAGAGTGTGGTCCTGACAACACCAAAGTCAAGGGTTTGGATCCCTGTACTGGCCAGCCGCCCCCAAAATAAATAAATAAAAATAAAGCAAGAAATTAGAACCTAACATTTAACAAAGAGAAATTGTTAGCTATGGAAATGTTGCCCTCTTCACTGAAATGTTTCTCTCCATCTATGTGTCTGTGTTTGTGTGTGACTGTTTCTGTCTCTCCCTACCACCACCAAAAGATGTCTTCTTTTGGAAAGTGAGGGGTGCTCACAGACAAGAGTTCTCAATGTGGTGAGTGGCCTGAAAGTTCTAAAAAAGGGCAGTGGCTGTATGGGTGTGGTGGCTCTGTGCCCTCTGGGGGTGCTGGGGGCTTCAGGTGGATGTGGAAGTTGAGATAAGGCAGGAGGTACTCTGAGGACCCTGAGACAAAACCCCTGATGCTTGGAACCCTCCTTCCACCCTGAGTGAGCCAGATGTGTTGGGATTTTGACAGCTGGGCAGGGACGGCATGGTGAGCCCCAAGGCTTCCCAAAATCCAGGGTGACAGAGGCCTCTGGTGCTAGAAAGTCAGCAGAACAGAGCCTGGCTGGCCCACTGGCTGTGGCATAAGACAGGAGGTGGAAGGTGCAGCGACGCGGTGGGGGATATTCCTGGAATCCCTCCCAGATTCCCAAGAATTCCAAGTAAGGATGAAGAATAAATCCAGGCATGGCCCAGCCAAGTGGCCACAGTGCAAGGTGCCACACTGCAGCTGTCCACCTCTAGGCCACACTACCCTGAATGTGACTGACCTCATCTGATCTCAGAAACTAAGCAGGCTTGGGCCTGATTAGTACTTGGATGGGAGACTGCCTGGGAAAACTAGGTGCTGTAAGCATTTAGCCTCCTATCCCCTCTGCATTTGGTGCCCACCTGCCCTCCCCATGTCTCCCTCGCCTCCTCCTTCTCCACCTGTTGTCCCTGCCCCCATCCCCTGTGGCCTCCCTCACCCCCTTACCCCATTGCAGCACCACGAGGCAACAACCTCTAGGTTCTTCCACCCACCTTGCTACCCCACCAGACCTGGGACCACATGAGGACTGCTGGGATCCTGAATTTGTGGGCACAGGTGTGGGCTCCTGCATCCTGGAAGCCCCAGGCAATTCACTGGGCTGCCCAGAACCTACTCCCAGTGAGAAGTGACCAGCCCTAATCTCCACCACCCTAGTCCTTCTCTTCACAGCACTTGGGCTGCTGTCCCATGGGAAGGACATTTTCTCTGCCAGCCATCCCTCTGCACCCACAGCCCCTTCACACATGTCCCCATGCCCTGTACTCTGGTCCTGAGGACATGAGAGACCCAGGCCTCAGGCCTTGGCAGCAGGATCATTGCAGCTTCTCTTGCCAGGCAACCAGGCACATTTAGCTAGTCTGGGGCACACGTCAGAAAGAAGATAAGCAAATGGACTCTTCAAATAACATACACTCTTTCTTTTTTTTTTTTTTTCCTTTTTGTCTTTTTTCGTGACCGGCAACGGATCGCAACCCTCAGTGTCATGCCCGCACCGGACCGGGACCGGCAACGGGATCGCAACCCTCGGTGTTGCACCTGCACCTCGCTCAGCCAGTGAGCGGCCAGTCTGGATGTGGGATCCGAACCCTTGGCGGGAGCGCCACCGCGCTCCCAAGCGGCGCACTGTAGCAGTGCGCCACCGGGCCGGCCCAACATACAGCCAGTGAGCGGCCAGTCTGTATGTGGGATCCGAACCCTCGGCGGGAGCGCCACCGCGCTCCCAAGCGGCGCACTGTAGCAGTGCGCCACCGGGCCGGCCCAACATACACACTTTCTTTGGAATGGTAGCATACTGACCTTTTGCAGTTTTCCGTTGCCAACATCTGGGATGTTCTGCGCTTCATATTTAAGGAATCCTTTGCTGGGTGGCACTGCTGTAACTACTACTGGAGTAGCTAATTTTAAGTTGCATTTCGATTTAATCTACAAGAAAAAGAAAATTTTCTTTATCAAGTCATACAGACATCATTAACTTCAAAGTTATTGTAAAATGTTCAAGAAAAGCAATGGAAAATTTGAAGATATTAGGTTTTTCTTAAATACTGAGATTTTTTTTTTTTTTTTGTCTTTTGTCTTTTTTCCGTGTCCGGCAACGGATCGCAACCCTCAGTGTTGCCCCCGCACCGGACCGGGGACCGGCAACAGGATCGCAAGCCTCGGCGCTGCTCCCGCACCTCGCTCAGCCAGTGAGCGGGAGCCGGTCTGTATGTGGGATCCGAACCCTCGGACGGGAGCGCCGCCGCGCTTCCCAAGCGGCGCACTATCCAGTGCGCCACCGGGCCGGCCCAGAGAATTTTTTTTTTTTAGCAGTGCATAACAGCAATGAAAAGCTGGAGGCATTATAAATTTAACTTGGGGACTTCCAGTTAAGATGGCAGAATAAATGGTCTCCAGCATCACTCTCTCCCATAAATCAACTAATTTACAACAATAAAAAAGCAATGACAGCCAAGCTGGGGCCAATAGAGCTCAGGAGAAGAGAAGGAGAGACCTATGGAGTGCCTAAAGGTGGGAGAAGCCACAATGAGAGAAAAAACTGCTCCAACCTTTTCCAATCCCAGCCACTTCCAGTCTGGAGCTGCTGAGTGTACAGAGCAGGAGCTGGCAAAAGCCACAACTGTGCCCTTTGTATGAAGTTACTTGGAGGCAGCAGGGGAGAAGAGGGCCTTGGTGGCCCCCAGGCCAGCAATACCACTAATAGGGTTCCCACGGACCCACACAGGACTGAGGAGCCACAACAACTGAAAAAAAGGAGCCACTCAGAGACCAGTGAGTCAACTCAAGGGATCAGAGCATGGCTCATCCCATAGGAAGTGTTTGGAGTACAGGCAGGGGAGACAGGCCCACTGGGGGAACACAGGGGTACAGAGCAGACAGCTGATCTGATCCCTAATCAGAGTAGGATCACTCAGAGGAGACTGGTCAGTAATGCAGAACTGCACGGACTGCAGTTTGATGAAAAGACTCAGGCCCAGACCAGTCTTTCTACATATCCCAGGTGCACTGGATTTCACTAGAACTGGAAATACCTATAAAGTAAATCATTAAAACCTGAGCTACACAAAAAGCCTTCCCCAGGGAATCAGCAGCAAAACAGCAATTTCGCTGAACCACAGAGCTCAAGTGCTGTTCCCACAGGAAGTTCCCCCATTTTAGAAGTAAGCAAAGGACAACAAATTAGTTTTAGCACAGAATTTGAGTGGTGGGAACAACAAATAATCCAACATAGAACTGAAAGAAAAAACCAAGTACCCACAACAAGAAACAAAGTTTGATATTAACTAGTGCAGGTCTCATTTCACCAAAGAACACCTATAACACCTAGAAGGACTGGAAGTCCCATGGGCTACCAAGCCAGAAAGGGGAGAGGGCTGGGGCCTCAGATATGTCTCCTGACACCCATACCCAGTCCTGAGGGTGGGGACCTTGGGCCTCAGCCACACCCACTCACCCAATGAGCCTGACCACCCCAGTGAGGACCACTGAGCCATGGCAGGAAGTGCCCCAGGCTCTCCCAAACTGGGGCAGTGTGGGGCCTCAGGCCTCAGCCATGCCCCCAACATGAGCAACCACCCCAGTGATGACCACTGAGCCATGGCAGGAAGTGCCCCAGGCTCTCCTGAGCTGGGGTGGTGGAAGGCCAAGGGCCTTAGCCATGCCTCCCTACATGAACAACCAGCCCAGTGACAACCACCTAGCTACCAAAGGAAGTGCCCTGGGCTCTCCCAAGCCAGGGTGGTGGGGTACCAAGGGCCTCAGCCATGCCCCTGACACATGCAACCAGCCCAGTGACGACCACCAAGCCACAGCAAGAAGGGCTCCGGGTTCCTAAGCTGGGGTGGTGAGAGGCGAGGACTTTTGCTACACCCCCCTGACATCTGCACCCAGCCTGGCAATGACCAAGCCACCACTGGAAGCCCCCCAGTCTCCCCTGTGGGAATGCAGGGAGTGCCACAGGCCTCAATCCTGTCCCTGCTTCTTCCTTCACATTTTCTACCCCTTTTCCCTCTCCCTCTCCTTCCCAACTGCTCTGCAACATCATAGAATGTAAAAAAATAATATTAATAAAACAAAATTTAAAGGGTATTTAACATGGGTGAAAAGGTTTGATTTCTTAAGTTTTCTAAAATGCACTCTGAGGTTAATGAAAAAAAGTAGAAATATATTCCTGAGAATAAATTAAGCCTTTACAAAGATGTTAGCTAAAATATACATAGGAAAGTTTCAAAAAGAACCCTCAAAAGATCATCAGGTAAAAATGTTATAAAAGCAGAATCTGAAGGATCAGCAGTTTTTTCCTTGCATAAGGAGGTGATATATTATTACTCTGTTATTATTATTGGCAGCTGGCCAGTACGGGATCCAAACCCTCGACCATGGTATTATCAGCAGCACACCCTGAGGAAGCTAACCAGCCAGCCCAAGGGGTGATATGTTAAATACAAGGTGTGCTTCCTTTCATATAGATCAAGGAGAGAAGAGTCAACCATGGGGAAGTGGAAACTTACACACCTTCCATATAGTAGAATATGCTCTTTCCTCACCCAATTTGTTCTTATTTTTTATTTTTAACACAATGTAGTTTTTATTATTTCCAAATATACAGAGAAAGTAGAGAAAACTAAAATGGGCTAATTGATTAAAACATTTTAAGGAAGTAACAATTAAAATTAACATCAATAAATAAACATTTGTAAATTACTGAATGTTTGCTTTGTTAATTATGGTTATAGAAAATGTATTTAACATAGATCACAAACTTCACCTTCCCACAATTATCAAAAATTCTGATTTAGCTGATAAGTTGAGTGAGGTTTTATAATACAGTCATGAATTAATAATTCCTATAAGCTTCCTGAAGCCCTCAAGAAGAATACTTCTGGTCAAAGTACAATATGGTATAAAAGATTTTCTACATTCAACACAGTATTAGCAACAGTCCTTTAAAGGTGGATACCTTATTTATGAGATGTTCGGTAACGACTTCTCTTAGTCCAGTGTAGAGCTTTTCTCCATGTTTATGCAAAACCATTGTATATGCATTTCTATAGAGCTCCTCAAAACTAAGACCACTGTTATTCTTACGCTGGATTTCTTGAATTGCATTTTTCAGAAGGTCCCAAATGCTGTTTACGTATTTTTCATCCATGGTCATCTGTGATATCCAAGAGAGAGGAGAGAAAAAAAAAAAAAAAAAAAAAAAAAGCAACAATGGTTAAAAATTCTTCTGTATTTGTCCACATAGTAAATACTTTATTATACAGCTATGATCATAAATCTGCATGACTTATAAGGAAGTTAACAATCTGTTTTAACAGAAATAAAGGGATACATTTAAAAAGTTTCTAGAGCTGATAGAAGCAATTTTTTTCTAATCCTTTAAGACCTCCCTCCATCCTTATCTATAGCAGAACTGTCCACTTTAAATAAAGTCATAATGATTTACACCCATAAATCACTTAACCTTTCCTCTTGCTCACCCTCCAAAATACTTGCCATGCCATCCCAACAGCCCACCTACTCCTGACACCCGGGCAGTTCAAAGTAAATGAAGAACAACATATACCCATTTGATCCATCTCAGTTTAAATTCATAAGCACAAACTACAAGGGTGCCTACCTGCAACCCCACTCCTACTTTTGTAGTCTACTGACTCTACTCTCCTAGATAATTTTATACCATTTTCTCCATCCTCACTCTTAAGATCACAAGTGCTTCCTGTTCCACTGAGAAAACAGAAACAACCTGGAGAGACACTGCACAAATTCCAACCATATCCACCAACCTATTTAGTTTTATGCCAATTCTGCTAGTTCATGCACTCCAAGTGCGAAGTTCTCGTACTCCAGTATAGGGACTAGAAAAATAGGCATCATCTAACAACCTATTAGAAATGCAGAATTTCAGGCCCCACCCCAGACCGACAGAAACAGTATCTGCATTTTAACAAGAACCCCAAATAATACATACAGAAAATGAAGTTTGACAAGTATGAGTACTTCTCTAGTTCTATCCCAAATCACCTATTCGAAGACCTCCCTTTAGCAATCACCCTTTCTCAGCATCAATATTTTTCCTCCCTGCTTGATAATTTCCATCCGCATTCGAAACTGTCAGATTTTCATCTTAAAAACAAACAAACTCTCACAACCACAAGTACTCCTCCAGAACCATATTATTTCTCTTTCCAATTACAGCAAAATCACAAGCAGGCGGAGGGGGAGATTTCTACATTCACTGTCTCCAAGTCCACCTTTCCATTATATCTTGAATCCATACCACTAAGGCTTTCATCTCTATCATTTCATCGAAATTACTCTTGAAAAGGTCACGAGTAACTTTACATTGCTAAATCTAATGGTCAAAGTCTCAGTTCTCATTTTACTTGGTGTATCTGGCAGTGTTTGAAAGAACTGATCATTCCTACTCCTTGAAACAGATTCTTCACTTACTTTCCAAGCACAACAATCTCTTGTTTTTCTTCCTATTTCACTGGCTCTTATTTGTCAGTCTGCTTTACCACTCATCACCACAACCTTCAATCCTAAAGTTCAGGTTCTGGATCTCCTGTCTAGCCACACTCAGTTTCTAATGGAGTTGATCTCATCTATTTTCATGGCTTTAAGTCAATCTCAAAATTTATTTATTCTGTTTGGCCCTCTCCCCTGCATACCAGAGTCATACATCCAGCTATCTACTCAATGTTTCTACTTGAATGTTGAGTAGGCATCTCGAACTTACCAAGTCTAATACAGAAGTCCTAATCTTTTTCTCTAATCTGCTTCTGCAATCTTTTCCAACTGAGCAAATGTCTACCCCAGTCTTCCAGTTGCTACGATCAAAAAGCTTGTAATCATCTTTAACTACTCCTTCACCTCACTTCTAATCCAAGAGGAAACCCTGTTGTCTCTACCTTC